AGCTTCCAGTCATCAGCAGTACTTTCCTCATGCTGTGACTGCGTGAGGAAAGTGCTGCCGATAACCGACAACTGTGTTTACTCCGCGATCTGATATGTCATTGGACACAGCTGATTGTGTGGTAAAAGGCCACTGTGATTGGCCTTTTACCTCATTATGTGATCAGCTGTGTCCGTAGCAATCACAGAGATCGCTGGGTGCGCACCGCTGGGGGTGCGCAGGAAGGTGTGTTCTGGGAGGACATCATATGACGCCCTCCCAGAACTGGACAACTGCACTGTAGCTGTCTTTCAGCTATTGCGTGGTTAGCAAGTGGTTAATAAGAAAAAGCCTGTACTTTAAAAAATAGAAGACTGAAGGGTCACCATGGGCATTCCAAAACTACATAAAAATGCAAAAAGAAATGCAAAAGTTCAGTCAGGGCAGCTTAACCTCCCTAGCGGTCTGATTATGTCCATATTTCTGTGCTCAAAGTGGTAGTTTTTTTATTATAGGCCTGTAATTTTTAGGAATAACTCATTGAAATCTGCCCAAACAAGAGTCTAGTAAACATTCCAGGTATGTTAAAATGTGAAACACGAAATCTTAAATTATAATTTAATAAATAATCATAAAAAATAATAATATAATAATACATTTATTCAATAATATAATCAAACCAAAAACACTGAAATTTGAAATAGAGCGCCAGTTCGCACATCACTGAGCAAAGTCGCAAAATCATTTTGAGTGTCAGGTACCCGCTCCCACTTCCTTGGAGTTGTCCTCCCCCTCCCTCCCCGTAGTCTTGTGGGACACGTGACAGGTCCCACAATACTATGGGGCCATTCACAAAGTGCAGCGCTTCTCGTGCATGCACAGTGGGCACCCAGCTGTGACAGCTTGAGGCTGAGTGCCCATACTGAAGATGCCGGCGCCAGGGAGAGAAGACAGCCGGTGAAAGTAGAACACTGCTGAACCAAAGAACAGGTAGGACTGAGGAGCAGGTTCCTCTGCACAGTAAAACCGATCAGCCATCCCGATAGCTGGGGGGAATAGCGGGCCGGCCACTCCATATTCACTTCATAAGACGCACAGACATTTTCCCCCATTTTTTTGGGGGGGAAAAGTGCGTCTTATGAAGCGGAAAAAATATGGTACTTATTAGGTTCATCTGAAGAGGTATAAATTGTGGGACATGTAGTTTTTTCATGGGAAATGTCAGTTCTTAGACTACAGAGGTAATGCATTAATCTGTGCAATGCCAAGGCAGATGTTGAACACACACAAAAACTGCTAACAGCAGAATGTAAATATTTATATTATAGACTGTGCTTACAGAGCAACAAATAACACCATGAAACTACCTGAACAATGCAATTGTTGTGCAATTGAAAAACACAAAGTGCAGGTAGGAAAGTTAATTCCTTTAAAGATTTTTTTAGGAACAGATACCTGCATGAGATGGTGTGCTTTTATTTTCCTGGAGTTAACGGTAAAAACAATTAACGTGCAATCACAAAGACTAGAGATGGTGGGCCTAATGTACTTAACTGTGAGCACATATACAAACACTGACATGCACTGAATTAGCTAAGAAATATACTTTGCTATACGGTGCGATTTCTATAGAAAGCAGTATACATTGTTTTCTTTGTATAGTGATGTGTTAAAATAGATGTTATAGTCCCGAATAAACTGACGATGAACCTGTTATTCATACAAACTTGTACATGTAATAAAGCACTTTGGACTTTTATTCTGTCTGAATAGGTTTGCAGAACTGCCTAGAACAGGTTGCATTGTGTTTCTTCTAAGAACTCCATTTCCATGGAGTACAGCTAAAGAACTTTGAAAGCTTACTTAATATAATGTATATCAACACCTCTCAAGCTCTGTAGATAGTGGAAATATGTTGGATACTTGACATTTTTTTATGTTTGAAATTTTTATCCCAAATGCCTACAAAAAAAACATGACTGGAGGCAGTTGTGATCATGTTCAGTAAGTGGCATGAATGTTTAAACTATATAATCTGAAAACTGAGTAAAACAACTGAATTGCCAGGTATATAAAGAACTCATTTCAAGAACTTCAAGATCTTGCTCATTGTTTATTTAGTTTGTAAGAATGCAGTGTCAGCATTTTTGCCACCATCTTTCCTTTAACCTCTTCAACTTGTTTTCAAATGAATATATTTATTTCCTCTTTCCTAAAGGACCAGTTTCAATTTATTAAATAATATCAAGAAGGAGCAGTTAATGTTTTTTTTTTAATATATCCTCTGAAATGTTATTGGAATTGAGGACACACTGGTCCAGTGGTGGAGACATTTTCCTACCTTATAGTGAACCTGTGCCCAGATATTGCTCACTAAATTGACATAATCTGAAAAAGTAAAACAATCATTTTAAAAACAAGTCATCATTTACTTCAGAACTTCCAGACATTGTAAAGAGAAATTCACCTTTAAATTTCAAAACAGGCAGAGAAACTTCACCTATTTTCCATGGGGAGCAGGACCTTGGGAGCCTGCCCGCCTTCCAATATGAACATAAAAGTAATATTTCAAACTGGTCAGAAACACAGGAAACCCCACTTAGCATATTTGGTGTGATTTTTGAAAATGAATAACTTTACTGTATAAACAGCTAGAAAGGTCTGTGAGGGCTTGTCTTCAAGCTTTTTTTTTACTGGCCACTGTAATATATAGATATTTTAATGTCCACAGTCAGGGCACAGGTGCATTTTACAATTTTGGTTTGTATTTCTAAGACATGTCTAGTATTTCCTTCAATTATCTTAGGAAGAGGCTGATTATTAAAAAAAAAAATGACACTCTTGCCTTGTTTACTCTTTCAGATTTGAATTGAGTAAATGTCTTCTTGTCCACTTTTAACAGTGCTTCTGTAAAGTGCTTCTATGAATTTATTTTCCTTATCCTTGGACTCTTTAAAGGTACATCTTGGCAAACAGTGTGCCCCAGTTCTAAGAAATACTTACAGTATAGGTAAATGTAGAACTAAGAGCAATTTTTTTTTTCTCACTTTTTCATTTTGGATAGAATAAGGGAACATTATAACCCATTTCAGTTCTTTTGCCATCTGTGTGTAGGCAGTCATCTAACAGGGGTGGATACCTGGCAATGTCCTACCTCATTTTGTCATTATTGTATGGCCTTGTGCTGGTTAAATATGTTTAGGGTTTATTTTTTCTACTTGGCTGCTCGGAAGTTAAGAAGGGGTTAATGCTACATGGTGTGTTAATGCTGTTGGCGCCTGGGTGTTCATGGCTCTGCCCCCTTGTGGCAGGCAATGAATACAAGGGGAGGCATCCTAATTGGATCCTTGGATGGGGAATTGCATGGAGGGCTGCTGCCACATGTATCATTGTTCTTATTTTTGGGCTCCCCTTGGTGAGTACCCAGTTTAGGTACCAAAAGCAGATTCATAGACTTTATTTAATAGACTTTGCACTATCTATAAGGTATGAGCCAGGGCATCTTAAGGTTGGAAGCAACTAGACCAACGCATGCAGAAAATCTGTGGAAGACTGTTTTGTATTGACATGTGGCTGAGAAATTTTCTAGTAAATGTTCTGAAGTCCCAAAATGGTTCCTGAAAGTTGAATAGGTTATTTTGCAATTGATAGGGGCAACTGGAGTAATGGCAGTTGTTTAAGCAGCTGACCACTGGGGAGTCATTGATGAATGGGCAGGGGTAACGGAAAGGCCTGGTAGTAAGGGTTGTGTGAGTTTGGCTCCCTCCCTAGTGACCAGTGCCCCTTATACTGGAACTGATATTGAAGCATAGGGTGTCCCAAGTACCTAGCCAGGAAAGTCATTGAAGAGGAGTAGAAAGAGAGTGAAATTCCTTGGGGTGCAGAAACCTGGGAACATATAAAGATATGAAGTCTCGTAATGTAACTGGAAGTTAGGTGGCTGTGCTGGTGGAGTGTAGTACAAGCTCAGCAGTACCCACTCGGAATTGCTGCATCCACTGGGAGAAGTTATAGAGCTATCAAATGTGCAATGTGCACAATAAAGATTGGAAATGTACAGGAAGGGTTAACTGCGAATGCGGAACATACTTGCTTATAAGCTGGAGAGCAGCTTTAACTCTGACCAGAGTGACAGTCTCAGCCTAATAATTAGGCATTAGCGAGCGCTACTAGCGAGTCCCAACTTGGGTGTGTGTTAAGCCCCACCTGCAACTGTCCCAAAGGTGAGCTTTTTTCACTTCCTGTCACATAGCTAAACAAGACATGAGAGGAAATCCCTCCAAAGTGAGGAAATTCCAGGGTGTCACTAGGGTCACAAGAACTGTGCCCCCACTGTCAACCCAAAGTATGGAATTTTCTTTTACTTTCACTTTCGATGATAATAGTAAACAGGACAAATAGAGAGGGTGAATCTCCTATCTAAAGCTAAGCTCTCTCCAAAGCTAAAAAAAAGTGTTGACTTTAATATTCTGGATTTAAAGTGCACTTAGGGGTTTTTTCATGAGTCAGACCAGCTTCTGGCTTAGATAGCAGGCTCCTCAAGTGCACATTCAATTTTTTTTGCAGAATGCCTTAGGAATCCCAAATCCTGGGGAACACTATTATGAAAACTTCAACCAGAGTTTACTCATTTGCTATTCAGCTAACTGCCCCACCCTCCCTGTGTCTCTGTGATATCCAGTTATATCCTGTTCCATCACTAGGGATTTAGGAATCTGCCTGGTTTTGATTTGGGGTAGGTATGTTGAATTCTGCATGAAATCCACACAACCCCAACTTAAAACTAAACTCCATTAAAGTTTATGGAGGGCAAAGCTTGACACTACATTCTGGGTAATGTATTGTGAAACAAAGGCACAGCGAATTGGGTACTGTTTTGGGTAATGTTACCCTCCTGGCGGTATTCCCGAGTGTAGCTCGGGGTTAACTTTCAGTACCAAAAGCGGTAGCCCTGAGCTACACTCGGGATTACCCTGCAGCGTTGCTCTGGGATCCCTCTTACCTTGTCCTTCGCTCCCGCAATGTCCCCCCTGCAGCATCCCTGGCCATCTCCTCCGGCCGATGCAGGCATCCGTCTTCCAGGTTCCGGTCCCTGCGAGCATCGGGACGTACGGGGGACAGAACCGGCGGGAAATTTAAAAATGTCAAAAAATGACATTCACTAAATACACTAAAATCACATAGTATAAAAAATTACTGTATAAAACCATTTCACATACATTATGTCCCTACTGCTTTGTCCTGTGCCCTGCCTGCATTTTTACTGTTCTTTCTGTCTTGAAACTGAGAAATGTCCATGGCGTCCAAAAAGCGTCCCTTTAGGTCAAAAGCGGTTTTAGACCAACTAGAGAACAGCGATAGTAAATTAGAACCACTTGCAGAATTGAGTGATAATGATTCATGGGGAACTTCGCCATCAGACACTGAAAACGATTTTGCGACTTTGCTCAGTGATGTGCGTACTTGGCGCTCTATTTCAAATTTCAGTGTTTTTGGTTTGATTATATTATTGAATTAAATGTATTATTATATTAATATTTTTTTATGATTATTTATTATATTATAATTTATGATTTTTTGTGTTTCAAACTTTATCATACCCGGGATGTTTACTAGACTCTTGTTCGGACAGATTTCAGTGAGTTATTCCTAAAAATTACAGGCCTACAATAAGAAAACGACATATTTCCATGCAAAAAAAAAAATGTACCGCTTTGAGCACAAAAAATATTGACATAATCAGACCGCTAGGGAGGTTAAACAAATAAACCACAAAATTAATTACTGTACAGTGGGGGGGTCCTCCTTTTAATGTGAGTTTGAGAGGAAGATTTGAATAACAACTAGCCTTTAAATTACATTTTGTTTCTAGTTTGGTTTAAAAACAAGACTTTTTTAAGTCGTTTTGGCTGCGACATCTGATTTTATATACAGCAGTAATGGGCCTCAGTTGAACAATGGAAGTAAAAGTCAACACAGATCTAAAAGCTATACGATAGTTTACTCTTACAAAAATTAAAGATAAAGCACCCAACTTTGTAGAAACTGGCCAGTGTCACAACACTTTATTATTATAGTTTGTTACTAGCTTCTTTGGACAGTGAGCAACAGTTTACAGTATTAGTATAGTTTTTTTTTTAGCTTCTTATTTCACAGTACCACGCTGCAATGTCTTATGTGTGATAAAATGTAAAAAACAGTGTGCAGCAGGATTGCCTACCCACCAAACAACTAGAAAATGCGATTAGCAATGTGCTTAAAGGGAAAAAAAAGCATATTCATCCTTTTAGATAAAGGACAGGTTAATACAGTATAACCCAGCAGTTTTGTAACCTGTGTCTAATTGGAGAGATTTCCCTTTAATTTCTATTCCATAGCTACCACTGCAAGTGAGGGGAAATCCCAGAAAGCCACCAGAATTATTGTAATTATTTTTATTATTTTTTTTTAAATCAGAGGACCTGTAGTATAAATCGGTTGCAGTTGCAATATTTTATGTTGCATTATATTAGCGCAGAGGGTAATCAAATTTAAATTTTCAGGAAAAACATGCTTTATTGAATCTTAGTGTACACAAACACAGTATAACACCCAGTTTGGGGGTAAATATATAAGATTATTGAATGCATAGTAAATATGTACCCAGCATGTCATGCTTTAAAATTACTTACAACTGTGGAATATCAACAAACTACTGTACATTAAATTATCCATAGATTACTCTTTACAAGCCTTTACAGGTCACCAGCTTTGAGCTACACACGAGGTTCAATGTTTTCACTATGAAATTTGTGGCGATAACTCACTTGTGTGGTATGATTACCTTTTACATATGCGTGCAGGACGTACCTGAGCATTTGCATTTGTGCTTGAGCACAAGGTAGGGGGTGGGGGTGCTTTAATTTTTATTCTTATTTATTTATTTTTAAATTGAACGTTATTGCTATCACAAGGGATGAACAACATTGCTTGTGGTAGCATGGGCCATAACAGATCCTCTTTATGGATAGATCTATTAGACCCCAGTTCTCTCTTCTACCCTCCAAAGCATCTGATCAGTTTGATAAGATGCTTTATAAGCATCAAGTAATCGCTTGTAAACAAACAAACCAAAATCGAAATGAAGAAATCTTCATTGCTTCCAGTGCCTGACATCACAGAGGGGGAGAAACAACAGCAGTCCCTCTCACTCTGACTAGGGCATCCAATGCATAGCCTGATGGCAAGCTTTCTATTCCTGCCCTTTTAAGTCCCTTTCATACTGCTCCATTGAAGAAAACAAAAAACCCTGTAAAAACGCATATGTGTTTTTCATGTGTTTCCAGTGTATTTTCCAGTTGCCTGACTCTCAGCATGCTCCTGTGAAAGATACACATGTGACTCAAAGAGTACACCAAAAATGCAACTGCTGTGTGTTTTTCCTTGCATTCTTATTTCAATGGGGGATCAATTTTTGGTGCACACCAAAGATGCAGCATGCAGGACTTTTCAAAATGCAGCATCAGTTCCATAGGATATAAAGGAAATACGTTTATTGTGTTTTTCTTGTGTTTTAAGCAATGTAAAAGTGCATCAAAAATGCATCAGTGTGAAAGGGCACTTATTGTTTCTTCTGTAATACATGGCATTCAAATCAGAGAGGCTAAGTAAAAGACAGAAATCATATTAGCATAAAAAAATTACATCCTCCATTAGCATGATATTCAGGGCTTATAGGGTTATTATCATAAATCGCAAGCTTCTTAAAAATGATTTCCCATTGGATATCTGAGCACGAAGAAGTAATAATGCTAAATAGAAACCCTGAACAGAAGATCAATAATTGAAGTAAAATACAAATTCATTACTAACCAGAATGGGTGTGATGTCATTCCATTAAAAATATATTTAAAATTCCCTGTTATTTTTTGCTTCTGTACATTTGGTGTAATGTCATAACAATAATCATGGAGGTTATTTACAAGCATGATTGTGACTTCTAATCTTAACTGTAAATGGGTTTCTCTCGCACTTTCAAATGAGTTTCTCTGGCAGAGGGAAAATGTTACACATATGCAGTCTGGAATTTTGTCAATTATTGTAACGTTTTCTATAAAGGAAGAGAGAATAGAAAGTTCAGTAAAATTATGACTATGCAGGTAATTTGTACAAACGCTAATATTTTGTTCAGTTCATTAATTATGGTGCTAATGTATCTATCTAATTATTAAAACACTCATTATTAACAGCAAATCTGTAGCCTCCCTTGCTCCCAGCAACTAGGTTTAAAAACATAAAAAAAAGCACCGCCAGTTGTTAATGGATGCCACTATTGTCATTGAAGGGTGCAAAAACCTGGAAGAACCTACAGTTGACTGATTCTTTGTCTCGGTTCCCTGGAGGTGAGGACCATCCCCATCTCATCCCACAGTGCATGCAGAGTACTTTTAATAGGAATTTCAGGCCCCACATTGCATTGTGGGATGTACTATGGGCAGTCCTTAGTGTGACTTCTAAAGCTAAATAGATCATGTCAACAACTTAAAAAAAACTGCAGGTAAAAATAAAACATTTTAAAGTAGTCACTTGCAGTGTTTTCTGTTTCATATTTAAATTTTTTACTATTATTCACTTACACTGTGCCCAGGAATTACCTTCATTCCCTTTTTTGGGTGACAATGCTCATTCATTGTGTGATATCTATGTAGGAGCAGCGTTGTTATCCTGGGACAGAAATTGTTTTAGAAAAACAGAACATCTCCTCCTTTCCCATCTCCATAACACAGCGGGGAGGTATTTTGTAGTCTACACAGAGAACTAGGAACAATTTTAACTGATAACATCCAGCAGAACAGATGATTTCCAACAGAATTTTTTTTTGGCACAAGGTTTTTTTTGCACTTATCAAACAAATATAACAAAGCAATTTCAATGTTATATTTAACATACCAAAACAAAAAAAGAGATTTCATTGCTATATACACTTTGAAATCTCAAAAAAAAGCTCAGTTTTTTTACACCATGATTAAAGTGATTGTAAAGGCTCCAGTTTTTTTTCAAAATAACTAACATATTATAATCACCTGATCTGTGCAAACGTTTTGCACAGAGAAGCCCCAATCATCCTCTTGGGGTCCCTGCTGGTGCTGTTCACTTCTCCCTCCTGCTGAGTGCCTTATAGCAAGCCACTTAGCCACTTGCTATGGGGGCACTTGTGCATGCTTGCTCCCACGCCAGGCTCTGTGTGTCCATAGACACACAGAGTGTAGCTTGGCCCCACCCCCCAGCTCCCTCCTCACTGAATGTGATTGACAGCAGCAGAAGCCAATGGCAAATTTGTGTGACATCAAACGGAAGCATTGGGCAGTCATTGTTAGCTGAGATCTGCACAGTGCCTTGTAAAGCCTTGGGTAGTCATTATTAGCTGAGATTTGCAATATTACACTGGTTGTAGAGGCTCAAGGCTTTTGTTTTCTTCATGCGTTCTATGCATGAAGGTAAAAATCTTTTGTGTGCATCAGCCCCTTCCCCCCTTTATTCTTACCTGAGCCCCATCTCAATCCAGGGATAAGCAGGAGAGCCTTGGCTCTCCTGGGTCTCTCCTTCCTCATTGGCTCCCGTTACTGTCAATCACATCCAACGAGCCAATGAAGAGAAAGAGGGGGCGGCGCCAAGCCATGCTCCAAGTGTGAATGGACACACATAGTGGTGGCTCGGGAGCGAGCCTGCTCAGGTGACCCATAGCAAGCTGCTTGCTATGGTGGCACTATGCAGGAGGGAGGGGCCAGAAGCACCAGCAGGGGACCCAAGAAAAGGAGGGTCGGGGCTGCTCCGTGCAAAACCAATACACAGAGCATGTAAGTATGATATGTTTTTTTATTTTTAAACAAAAACAAATCTGCCTTTCATATCACTGTAAGTGGTGGCTAACCCAGTAGATGTATGTGCTGTCATATTGCCTGTTTGTGGTTGCCTACCTCAATTGCTGTAAACTGGCATCCATATACCGTTCCAGTTAGTTTATCTTTCTATGTAAGTTTTTTATGGGTCAGTCTTTGTCCACTCCCTACTACCCTTTCTGAAAATAGACTTTCTACCAGGAACACAAGCCTCCTGGTAGCATAGCTGATCAGAACATGACATTTATTTTAATTGTAATTTCATTGTAATTAATTATTTTTCATTTTCATTCATTTATTTTTTATTTCACTTTACAGGTATTGAAAACAATATGGCCAAGAGTAACTATACAGTACTGACTGAGTCAAGTTTAATTTCTTAGGTGCAACATCCTTAGAACCTGTCCCTGACACTGTGACACTGTTTAGTCTCTTAGGTGATCGAAATGTCCTCCTTCAAGGTTGCAGAAGTCCCAGATCCTGTCCAAAACACTGTGACATGCAGTAAC